TAGCTGTTTTGATGAAAAACTGTTCTGACCAAGGAGGGTGTCATATCTTTTTTGCTCTCCTGAGCACAAAGTGTTCAAAGATGAGCTTTTCTGATCACCCTGTGTACATCGTGCCATGAGTCCTCCAAAAAAATGGCGTCAAACTCTTGAACAACAACTCCTCCTTTACCAGTAGACCAATATTGTTGAAACTAAGCAGGAATGTTCCTAATGCACATGAAGTTCAAAGAATTTCATTTCATGCTAAAATCTCTTGTAAAGAAACCAAAAGAGTTAGAGCTTAGATATTTGGCATGAAACATTTTCTTGTGCATGTCTACCAAATTTGTTCAGGGTCAGAATTGGCCCAGCTGAAGGGGTCATTGATTTTATATTTATATTTTTGTAATTGAGACACTTGATACATGCTATGGTGTAAGTTTCAGGTCTTTACAAAGTTTTTGACTGAGTACGTAAAATTTATATGGCGGCCATTTTAAAAATGGCGGCCATCTTGAATGAACAGAGATATTTTTGGGCCCACTTGACTTTTAAAACCTACGTGGTCTAAAAATGATTTCCTGAAAGCTTCATGCTTGTATCACCATTTGCACTATTTTCTCAATTCCCTGCCCCACTAGTAGGTAAAATATATGAGGCAAGTTTTGTGAAAGTGTTGAATAGACACAAAAATATTACAGACAGGCGGAAACACTGGCAAACAAAGGGAATTTCTAGAATTCCATTTCCCTTGCTGTGAATAATTAACTAGGAAAGATGTTTCCTTTGTTTTTGATGAGAACCAGAGTTCTGCACAGAATAGAGTTTTGGAAATTTTTTAAAAAGCTTCAGTCAAGCAACAAATCTGTACATTTATTAAAACATTTGTAAAAATCAACTAGAATTGCCACTGTCTTGGCGTGAATACCCCCGCATACAACTTAGTCAGAATCAAAAGTGGCCATTTAGAGCTCAAGGACAACCTATTTGCCAAATCTGATTTACTCAGCCAGTACATTGCTAAGTTATGTACATGTATTCTATAATGCTTCAAATGTGAAAATGTGAAAATCAATACACTGCGGACAGGTATTATTTGAGCAGACAAGCTTATTATAGTATAAATGCCTGTGACTTGACCTTAGGAATCTTAAGTTATTGGGCGGACAAGCTTTTTTAGTCAAGGCCCCTGTGACCTCGACCTTTGACACAGTCACCTTAAATCAATTGGTCATCTACTAGTCATAAACAACCTCAATACCAAATATGAATACTGTTGACCAAAGCATTCTTAAGCAATTGAGTGGAAAAGCGTTTTTTTAATCAAGGCCCCTGTGACCTTGACCTTTTACCCAGTGACCTGAAAATCAAAAGGGGTCACCTAATGGTCAGGATCAACCTCAATGCCAAAAATTGAGACTGTGGGTTGAAGGAATCTTAAGTTATTGGGGAGACAAACTTTTTGAATTCAAGGCCCCTGTGACCCAGTAACCTCAAAATTAAAAGGGGCCATTTACTCATCATGACTAACCTCCATGCCAAACATGAAGACTGTGGGTCAAAGGCATCTTAAGTTATTAGGCGGACAAGCTATTTTGTTAGTCAAGGCCTATGTGACTTTTACCTTTAACCCAGTGACCTCAAAATCAATAGGGGTCATCTACTAATCATGAATAATATGAATACCAAATATGAAGACTTTAATGTTTGATATGTTAGTTAATTAACCACAGCAAGGGGAAGGGAATTCTAGAAATTCCCTTTGTTTGCCAGTGTTTCCGCCTGTCTGTAATATTTTTGTGTCTATTCAACTCTTTCACAAAACTTGCCTCATATATAGGATAGGAAACTCTTTTGACGTACGAGGTCAATGTCACCTTATCCTTTGGACCAAGTTTGACCATGGGGCATTTATTTGAACAAACTTAATGTTTCATGCCAAATATCTAATCTATAGTACTTATTGATTGTCACAAGTTTTTACTATATTCATATCAGGAAAATCAATGACCACCTGTGATGGGGCCAATTTTGACCCTAGGGTATTTATTTGAACAAACTTGGTAGACATCTACTAGTAGATGTTTCATGCAAAATATCTCATCTATAGTGCTTTAGGATTGTCACATCGAGACTTTTTAATTTTTGACTATATACAAAAATTATAGAAAATCAATGACCTCTTCAGCTGGGCCAATTCTGACCCTAGGGCATTTATTTGAACAAATTTGGTAGACATGCACTAGAAAATGTTTCATGCCAAATATCTAAGCTCTAACTCTTTTGGTTTCTTTACAAGAGATTTTAGCATGAAATGGAATTCTTTGAACTTCATGTGCATTAGGAGCATTCCTGCTTAGTTTCAACAATATTGGTCTACTGGTAAAGGAGGAGTCGTTGTTTAAAGAGTGTGACGCCATTTTTTGGAGAACGCATGACACGATGTACACAGGGTGATCAGAAAAGCTCACATTTGAACACTTTCTGCTCAGGAGAGCAAAAGAAATATGACACCCTCCTGGGTTTGAACAGTTTTTCATCAAAACAGCTATTAAGGTATGACCATCCTCACTTTGAAAAGTATTTAAATAGACTACAAATACTGTCAACTGCTTTTAAAATTTTGAGTGGTGGGTTCAAAGCCCTGTAAATATAAAAAAAAATATTTTACGTTTTTTTATTTTATTATTCAGATCAATGTTTGAAAGAAAATATGACTAATCTTCATTAAATTAATTAGTTTAGGTCATTTTGCGCCACATAATGCTATATTCATTTAAAATTTTGGTACCCAGTAGTTAAAAAACTAGATATGTGTTCATAGGACACAGGTGACCCCACATTCAACTGTCCACTGAAGTACAGTTGGATTTCATTTTCAAAGGGACAGAAAAAACAAATTCTACATAATTTCCCTTACCCCAAAGTGGTTAGGGCATGAAAACAACATCTAATTTTTCCAACGTTGACATATTGATTTTCCAACCTGCAAATGTACACTTACACATGCTGACCAACTTTCCTGTAAACGTTCATGGCTCAAGATCAAATACTTTTTGATCTATGCATCATACAAATTGAAAATTTCAAATTCATACTATGTCAAGAACAAATTCTGAATCAATCCACAACAAAACCCTAAAGTGCATAACTACACATTCTCTAAAGCTTCATGACTCTATGTCAAATACTTTTTGAGTTTTGTGTGACACAAGTTGAAAATTGAAAAAACTTTTTTTTATGTCAAAGGCAAAAACTTTGACAAAACAGAATTTATCCACATGTTAAACCAAATGTGCACAACTGCAGATGATGAAAATTTATTGACTCTAAGTCACATACTTTTGAGCTACTTGAGACACAAGTTGAAACTAAGTCAAGGGCAATAACTCTACAAATACTGTATCAACCCACAGGCAAACCTGAACTCCTGTGAATTTTTGTGGAAATCCCGGCGGCAGTTTAACCTGTGTTAGCCGGACTGGATTTTTCTATTTTTTAGCTCTGGTAGCCATTTTGTGCAGCAAAGCAGAGCATGCAGGCGATATGCACAACTACGGATGGTAATGATCACTCATGTGAAGTTTTATTATAATCCTACCAGTGGCTTGACCTGTGAAAGCTGGAAAATATTTTTCTATTTTTAGCTCTCCCGGCCATTTTGTGCAGCGAAGCAAACTTTGCCGGTGGTGGTACTGATCACTCCTGTAAAGTTTGGTTGAAATCCCACCAGTAGTTTGGACTGTGAAGGCCGGATAGGATTTTTCTATTTTTAGCTCTGGCAGCCATTTTGTGCAATGAAGCTGAACGTGCCAGTGATGTGCAAACTACGGATGGTACTGATCACTCCTGTAATATTTGGTTGAAATCCCACCAGTAGTTGTACCTGTGGTTATAGACCGAACAAAATTGTTCTACTTTTAGCTCTGGCAGCCATTTTGTGCAGCGAAACGGAACATGCTGTCGATGTGCACAACAACCGATGGTACTGATCACTCTTGCCCTGTGAAGGCCAGACAAGAATTTCTATTTTTAGCTCTGGTTGCCATTTTTTGCAGCACAACTACCGATGATACTGATCACTCCTGTACAGTTTGGTTGAAATCCCACCAGAAATTTGACCTGTGAAGGCTGGTCAAATTTTTTCTATTTTTAGGTCTAGCGGCCATTTTTCGCAGCGAAGCAGTACATGCCGGTTAAGTGCACAACTAGGGATGGTACTGATCACTCCTTTAAAGTTTGGTTGAAATTTCACCACTAGTTTGACTTGTGAAGGCCGGACAAGCTTAATGCGGACACACGCTTCCGGAGGTACAACCAGGTAGACGGACGGACAGCAAAGGAAAAGACAATATGTCTTCCAAAAGTTTTGGGAAACATGATTAAAGAAGTGTTTAAAATTGGTGGGATAGTGTATCAGTTAAATACATATTAAAGAAACAATAATTTTGCTTCAGTCTTTTGCATGAATATTTTTATTTGTTCTAGGAAAATATTTTATAAGGATGAAATTAAAGATTATTTTGAGTACCCTTATTTCCTAATAGAGCAATTCTTATATCCAATATTTTATTCACAGGAGTGTCAGTAACTCGTAAACAGAATCATAAATTTTGTTTACATTTTGCATGCAGGTGTCCTTTAAGGCATATAACTGACCTTTAAAGTTATAATTTCAGATCCTAAATAAAATGCTCACTAGGTAGGTCATACCTTAAAGCACTTAACTGTACCTTTCTTTTTCCTTTTTTGTTGGAAGTCGCATCAACACAGTATAGGTCATATGTCGACTTTCCAGCTTTACTGGTGGAGGAAGGCTTCATGTGTGCTTTATTTCAGGCACAAACTGGCACCAGCAATGTTATGTAAGATAGCTGGATAGCTTCCTCACATGAAAAAGTCCCAGACAGAATTTGAACCCAGAGCAATAACAGGGATGAGGGAAGTCAACAACTTAAACTACTCAGTCAGGGACGCCCCATGACATTTCATTTCATAATGGATAATAAAGGGTAACTGACCTGCATTACATATTTTTTCAATAAATTCTGTAAGCTGTGGTCCAAGTTTTGAGGATTCCATGACAATTCTATTCTCTTGGCCTGGAAACATCTTCACAGCTGCATCAGAACAAAGGTAAACTGGCTGACTACCTTTCCTGAATTCAATCCACTTGTCAGAAGCCAGGGGTAATAACTCAAGATCTTGAAGAATGGCAAAATTTTCCTTATTTCTTACTAAATAGATCAAGATATTAATTTTGTCCTTCTGTGTCAATTCTTTATATTGTTGTTGTTGTTTCAGTTGCAAACCTAATGTTTCTGGAGTAAGATCTATAATGTATGGAAAATGCTCTTGCAAGGTATCAACCAAGGAAAATGGCACATCAACATACTTGACGCCTATTTTCTGGAAACATCTCACAACAGATTTCTGCAGTGCAACATCACCTTCACTATTTGACAAAGTCCTAAATGTTGCAAAGAATGCTCTTCTCAAAATGATCCATTCCCTTGTGTGCATTGCATATAAAATTTCTTTTTTACCAAGATATTCATAAAGTTTATTTTCTAACTCCATCCATCTCTTGTGAGTTTTTCTAGGTGATGATTTACATGTTGGCAATGTGTTATATACGGCCTTTATAGATATTTCATCATTTAAATTTTTCTTGGAAACTTCTATAATTTCCAAGACAAGTAATTCATATGCTTTTGGAAGAGCTTCCTCAATCAGAGCTTTGTTCCAAAGAATTGACTTGTCATCTATTGGCTTTCCCTCTTGTTCCTCGGTCTCCCATTTCATATGGTGTCGGTTTTGGCTGAGTGCAAAGAAACCATTTACATGCACAGGTAACCCAGTCAACCTCTCACCTTCCTTTGGCAACGGCAGGAAACAAAAAACATGTCCCTCAAAGTCATCATCAATTTCTTTAAGAGGTGTTGCAACGCCAACATATGGGCTATATCCTAGATTTTTATCTTGTATCAATTTTTGGAAACCAGCTGATGCACTTTCTTTTACAAAGTAGTTCACAACCAGCCATTCTTGACGCTCTTCTTTATCACCATACAACATGTGAATTACAAGCTGTATTGTGGAATGTATATCTGGACATTCAGAGGATATATTTTGGTTCTGAATTTGGTCCTTCAAAGCTTGCCGAGAACGTCTTACAGCACCATCTTTGTCCTCAATTTCCAGTTGGAGAGTTTCACTTTTTTTTCTGTCCTCGTCCCTGGTATGCAATGATATTTTCTCAATATTTTTAAGAAACAGTAATATGTTTAATGCATCCAATGCAAATGCATCAAATAGATTTTTAACCTTACTTTCATTATACAAAGTTTCTGCAAGATCGGACGGGTTTTCACGCAGTGGGAACCAAAATATGGTACCTTGGAAGCCGTCCTCTGGCAGAGATTGTCTGCAAAGACCGAATGTATCCTCTAAGGCTTCCCAAAATGCTTCTGCATCTAGTCCATCTTCCTCATATTCCTCAAGCGCACACAGATCTAGTGTAGCATTTACTTTCTCTGCAGATTGCTGGGGATTTATCAGAAGTACTCTATCACCGCTTATGACACAAGGAAAGTCTGAAATTACATTATGACAAGACTTTTTAAATTATCTAAAAACATATTTGCATGATAATAAACAGTTTAGGTTTCAATTAGATGAAAATATATAAATGCATTATTTTGTGTTACCTTTTCTAAACTTCTCTGCAGTAGAGAAGCCTCTATTTGTATGCTGTTGATATTTCAGATGGCTTACACTATATTTATTATACTGATAAATATTTCATTATAATATCATATAAACCAGCGGAGGGAGCTGGTAACAATTTAAGTCTGCCAGTCTGAGGTAATATCAAGTATAATTATTATATTCATCTCTTGGGTTTTCAAGTTTTTATTCAACAAATTAACAATACCCATAAGTCCTGTGCTCGGCCATTTCTTTTTTTTTTCTTTTTTTGTTTGAGGGGGGGGGGGGGTTACATATGCCATATTTTAATTTTATTTGTTGTCACAGCAACCAAGGAAGAACAAAAAGTTGTTCCTTATCTCCAGTCTGCCATATTTTAAGTTTCTAAAAAATATTTTCAGTACTTTTTATGTTATCACAGAATCCTGTTTTGGGGATAGATGGATAGACGGACGGAGGGTAAACCTAGAGTCCCCTCCGATTAACCAGTAGGAGATAAATAAACAAGAACTGTTTTCTCCGAAACAGACAAATACCCACCAAGCAGGGTCAAGAAGGGGAATCATGACCTTTGCTTGCATTAAAGTCTAATAATAATAATGGTTACCATAAAAAAGAGTGTTTCACTATTATTGAAACATTATAACAAATATTATCTCATATTCTCAGCCAATTTTTTTAATCCCTGATTAGACACAGTTGTTACATTAAACTAGTGACCTAATTTTTAATTGTGACAATCTTTTCTTATGTGGCACAGACATATGCCTAGTTACTTAAAAATCCATTCATAGATGGCTGAAAGAATGGATATAACTATCGATATACCTTTATGAAACTACAAACCGTAAAAGTCCTAGATTGACCATGATCTCAAAGCTATAAATTCCATCACATATTGTTTTAAAAAAACATATCCTTAAACAAAGTCGTTTTTTTTAATCTGTCACACAGAATGACAATTAGTCATGGACTGGACATGTCTAGCAATGCTCTGTCATATCATTACTTTTGACATTCAAGTATGAACTTGACCTTTGGGCTGATGAATTAAATTTTGCTTATTACATATAAACCTAATAAGTAGCATATTTATGCTTTTTTTTTCCCAAAGTTCATCCAAAGCATTGCACAAAAGAAGACAATCTATTCACAATTGTCAAGTGTGACATACTAGAGTGACCTTGACTTTGAAGTGGACACTTGACTTCTATGTACAACAAATCATTATGTTTAACATATTTATTCCAAATTATATAAAAATCCATCCAGGAATGTGTCGGACATAGGGGTCAAATTTCAACTTAAAAAAAAATGTCATAACTTTGGAACACCAGTGTGACCTTGGCCTTTGAGGTAGAGACTTAATTTATGCTGGCGGTATGTTATCATTATGTCAAACACATTTATATATAATAATTTTTAACAGCATCTAGGACTGACAAAATTGTAGACCGGACACATTTTTTAACTTAAATGTAAAAATTTAAAATTTGTACATGTATCATGATGTTTGAACTTCAAGTGTGACATTGACCTTTAAGGTAGGGACCTATCTTTATCTGGTGGTGTGGACTTACAGATGAACAGACAGAGGACAGAGAAATGATGCCTATGCCATGGCTTCTCTGTAGCATGTCACAGCTACTTTGTAGCAGCTGACAAAACATCATTTAATTTAAGGTCCTTTCACTAAGCTACATAGAAATCATTTAACCAAAGAACCCTGTTAAATATGAGGAAATACTTCAGGTACAATGAAACCATGTTTGACTTTTTCTTGTCGAGGGGTTAGAGTCGATGACTTCTAATCCAGTTACCTCTCTGGTGTGGACTCGATACCCGGGAGACGCTTTGGTATTTTAGCGCTGAGGAAGGTAGTCTAGTACTGGTGTAACTCTCCAGGAACGATGGTTAGGAAACTGCCCGCCTATATGACTGAAATACTGTTGGGAAAAGGCGTAAAATGAAACGAACAAACAAACTTATTTCTAAAATAAAACACAGGAAAGATTTTATAATACAGGTAATTCCTACATAACACTTTTTTGTGGCTGTCAAAGGGTAAGAAGAATCTGAGGTTTGACCGGGATTCGAACCGGGAAACCTCGGAACACTATCCCACAGCACATATCTTCATATCTTCTCCGTTAAAAGTTAACAGGTTTTAACCCTGAAATTTTCCACGCTATAATTTGAAATTCGTCCTCAAGTTTCCCAGCGTTACAGAAGAATATGAATTAAACTCTGAGCTATATGAAGTCACAGCCAAATGTCACAGGTTGAGAAACATAAGTAGCCTGACTAAGACTCGAATCCAGGACCCCCAGAACACGATTCTGCTGCACTACGGACTGATCTATTCAGCCACATGCACATCTTCTAACCTAAATAGTCAACAGTTCTGAACTGTTACATAAATAAATTCAAATTTCATTCCGACCTTATTGGTCAAGGTCATTCAAAGGTCAAGGTCATATTTTAAATAATGGTCATGTCAGTTTTGACATAAGTGACATGTTGTCTATACAAATGAATCAATCCATAAATTAATAAGAAAATTATGTCAATAATAAGCAAATTTCAATAAATTTTACCTCAGTAGTCAAGATCAAATACTAGTAAGGTCAAAGTCATATCAGGAAAGTTCAATATGACGGTATGGTCATATGTGTTCTTTCTTCCAAGTATGAATCAAATCTGTAAATAATAATGTTACAACAATTAAAGCAAAAGTATTGCTTTATTACATGGGAAACATTTGTAAGTGTTACCTGTTATGTGAAAGACAGATTTGAATCCCAGTCCAAACCGTCCCACTTTCATTGGGTCTTTTTCTTTGTTACTACTGTATATCATTTGTATACCTTCCCAGTCATTCTCTGAGAACACTGCATCATTGTACACACAAAGTGCTGGACCCTTTAAAGTTAAAAATACATAGAAGTTTATAAGCAACTCATTATTATGGCACATATGCCCTTGACTCATATTGTTGGTAATTTTGTTGTAGAAACATGCTATAAATGGGTACATTGAAGAGTTATGTTATGGAAAATAGAAAAATAATGACCTACTAGCTATAACAAATCAATATGTGAAATACCGTGACCGTGACCTTTGACCCCATTATGACAAATCAATATGGCATATAAATCCCAATATCAATAGGGGACACCTCTTAGTTATGGCCAGTCAATTTGTGAAATATGAAGACTTTGTGATAAACAGTTTTCAAAATAATGAGCAGAAACCATTCTGACATATAGGGTACCTGTGACCTTGACCTTTGATCTCATTACCTTAAAATCAATAGGGGTCATCTACTCGTTATGACAAATCAACATGTGAAATATGATGACTTTTGTGATAAATAATTTTTTAGATATTAAGAGGAAACCATTCTGAAATTTAAGGCCCCTCTGACATTTGACCTACTGACCCCAAAATAAATAGGGGTCATCTACTACATATGACAAATAAAATGCCAAATATGAAGACTTTGTCATAAATAGTTTTCAAGATAATAAGCGGAAACCAATCTGAGATATTTTTATAAGGCCCCTATGACCTTGATCTTTCAAGTGGTGCCCTCAAAATCACTAAGGGTCATCTACAAGTTATATCCAATCAGTATGTGAAATATGAAGACTTTGGGATAAATAGGTTTTAATATAATCAGCGGAAACCATGAAGTCTACCGACAGACTGACACACCAACTGACTTACCGACCGACATTAGCAACACAATATACCGCCTCTTCTTCAAAGGGGAGCATAATAATAAATGATCGCATGACATGATTGACAATGTTAATCATGAAATGAATAAAGCTAATAAATTGCTTGTGTGTCATACACACAGACTAACAAATGTAATCAACAGGTTGAACAGAAATAACTAAAAGTAACGGAGGACATAAATTGTGAATATTGAATGCGGACAGTTTCAATACTAAATTTATTCAACAGGAATAGTAATAAAACTAAACAAATACCAGTATGATATATAATTCATCACACACATATAATAGAATAGCACCGCATGCTGTGTTAACACTTGTCTGTTAATGGGCAAATAATATAAACAATTATTTTTTATAAATAAATTAACAAGCTAATTCGTTGAATTTATATCCCCCGCATAGTACTGGTTATTACTAACTGGACAACTGAAGACATAAGGCTTTATTTATATATTTATCATGGCATAAACAGTAATATTCTTTGTACATAATAAATATTTAGCCAACAATATGTACATCTCCTCTTAGTATAAATGGTTCCTATAAAGTTTAATTGGATTCCAGCCAGTAGTTGCAGAGAAGTAGTGCGGAAACAATTATTGCTCTACATACATACTGCATAACTAATCAAGGGTCATTACTCTGAGTTAAATAGTCTGACCGGAACAACGCGATGAAATGCGCATCTCCTCTTGGTATTGAAGGTTCCCATAAAGTTTGCTCTTTATGCATACTGCATAACTAATCAAGGGCCATAACTCTGAGTTAAAGTGTCCGACCAAAACAAGGCGACGATATGCGCATTTCCTCAGAATATTGAAGGTTCCCATAAAGTTTCAATGAATTCAAGCCAGAAGTTGAAGAGAAGAGGCAGAGAAGAAACGATTATTGCGCTATATGCTTACAGCATATCTAATCAATGGCCATAAAGGGTCTGACAGAAACAAGCCGACAATATGCGAATCTCTTCTTGATATTAATGATTTCCATAAAGTTTCGTTGAATTTCTGCCAGTAGATGCAGAGAAGTAGCGCGGAAAGGATTATTGCTCCAAATTTATACCACATAACTTATTAAGGGCCATAACTGTGCGTTACAGTTTCTGAACGGAACAAGGCGACAATATGCACATCTCCTGTTGGTATTGAATTTCGTGAAATTGCAGACAGTAGTTGCAGAGAAGACGCGATGAATCTATATGCATATTGCATAACTAATCAAAGGCCAAAACTCTGAGTTAAAGTGTCTGACCAGAACAAGCAGACGATATGCGCATATCTTCTTGATATGTATGATTCCCATTAAATTTTGTTGAATTCCTGCCAGTAGCTGCAATGATGAAGCGCAGAAATGATTATTGCTCTAACTGCAAACTGCATATCTAATGAAGGGCCAAAGCTCTGAGTTAAAGTGTCTGACCGGAATAATGCGATGATATGCGTGACTCCTCTTGATATTGATGATTGCCATAAAGTTTTGTTGAATTCCAGCCAGTAATTGCAGAGAAGTAGCATGGAAAGGATTATTGCTCTAAATGCATACTGCATAACTAATCAATGGCCATAACTCTGAGTTAAAGGGTCTGGCAGGAACAAGCCGACAATATGCGCATCTATTCTTGATATTTATGATTTCCATAAAATTGTGTTGAATTCCAGCCAGTAGTTGCAAAGAAGTAGCGCGGAAAGGATTATTGCTCTATATGCATACTGCATAACTAGTGAAGGGCCATAAATTTGCTTTAAAGTTTCTGAACTGAACAAGGCGACAATATGCACATCTCCTGTTGGTATTGAAGGTTCCCATAAATTTCGTTGAATTCCAGACAGTTGTTGCAGAGAAGAAGCGAGGAAACTATTATTGCTGTATATGCATATTACATAACTAATCAAAGACCAAGACTCTGAGTTTAAGGGTCTGACCAATACAAGGCTATGATATGCGCATCTCCTCTTGATATTGATGATTCCCATAAAGTTTTGTTGAATTCCAGCCAGTAGTTGCAGATAAGTAGCATGGAAAGGATTATTGCTCTATATGCATACTGCATAACTAATCAAGGGCTAAAATATCTTTGTAATCTATAACTGAATTTGTTGATAGAATAGCATTATGTTAATTATCACAATTTATCCTTTAGTATACTTCATGTAGTACCAGCTATTAATCTTTAATCTTTGTTTTTCATCTCACTATACTTCTCAGTCTTTGAATTTTCACACTTTAATCAAGTGGTTGACATGCTGGACAGGTTATGATTCCAATAGGTATCAAGATAAATAGTTACCATTGGTAATTGGAAAATACTGACAAGTATCTTATTCCTTACTTCTCACCTTTTCATTTCCGGATTTTGGAAGTAAATTTTAATTGATGTAACTTAAATTTTACCAGAAAATTGTTCGGAATTCAGAATTTAGAAGTTCCATAATTCAGAGGTAAACAAAAGGAGAAATTTCGGGACGCTTAAAAAATGTTCGGATTTCAGAAGTTTCCGGATTTTAGAAGTTCCGAAATTCGGAAGTTACACTGTACTGCATAACTAATCAAAGGCAAAAACACTAATCATAGGCCAAAACTCTGAGTTTAAGTGTCTGACCAGAACAAGGGGACGATATGCGCATCTCCTCTTGGTATTGAAGGTTCCCATAAAGTTCCATTGAATTCCAGTCAGTAGTTGCAGAGAAGTAGCGTGGAAACGAATATTGTTCTATATGCATGCTGCATAACTTATCAAGGGCCATAACTCTGAGTTAAAGTGTCTGACCGAAACAAGGCAACGATATGCGCATCTCCTCTTGGTATTAAAGGTTCCAATTGTTTCGTTGAATTCCAGCTAGAAGTTGCAGAGAAGTAGCGCGGAAACGATTATTACTCTATATGCATACGGCGTAACTAATCAAGGGCCATAACTCAAAATATGAGTTAAAGGGTCTAATTGAAACAAGCCGACGATATGCGCATCTCCTCTTGATATTGATGATTTCCATAAAGTTTCGTTGAATTCAAGCCAGTAGTTGCAGAGAAATAGTGCGGAAACGAAATTCGGACGGACAGCAGTTGGATGGACGGATGAACGGACGGAGAACGCCAAAACAATAATCCCCCCCCCCCGATTCTATCGGCGGGGGATAAAAACGGACATAACTCCTAACAAGAGGGCAATGATGGCCCTGAGGCCGCTCACCTGTAAAAAGGCCCCACCCCGCAACCCCCACCCCCCCCCTCAACGTTGCAGGGCCAATTTAACCCAAGGGCTTTTATTTGCACAAACTTGGTAGACACCCATAAGAAGATGTTTCATGCTAAACATCTAAGCTCTAGCTCATTGGGCTTTTTAAAAGAAGATGTTTTTTAAGTTTTTACTATACACATATAGTTAAAAACAATGACACCCCTGGGGCCGGGCCAGTTTTGACCCCAGGGCTTTTATTTGAACAAACTTTGTAGACACTTACTAGAAGATGTTTCTTGCTTAATATCTAAACTCTAGCTATTTGGGTTTTTTCAAAGAAGATTTTAAGTTTTTGCTATACACATATAAAGAAAATCAATGACCCCCGGGGCGGGGCCAATTTTGACCGCAGTCTTTTATTTGAACAAACTTTGTAGACACTCGCTAAAAGATGTTTCATGCTTAATATCTTAACTTTAGCTATTTGGGTTTTTCAAAGAAGATTTTTCAAGTTTTTGCTATACACATATTAGGAAAATCAATGACCCCCGGGGCGGTGCCAATTTTGACCCCAGGGTTTTTATTTGAACAAACTTAGTAGACACCTATTAGAACATGTTTGATGCTAAATATCTTAGCCATAGCTCTATGAGTTCTTTAAAAGAAGATTTTTTAAGTTTTTACAATATGCATATAGGGAAAATCAATGACCCCCCGGGGCAAGGCCAATTTTGACCCCAGGGCTTTTATTTGAAAAACCTTGGTAGACACTTATTAGAACATGTTTTATGCTAAATATCTTAGCTCTAACTCTTTTGGTTCTTTAAAAGAAGATTTTTTAAGTTTTTACTATATGCATATAGGGAAAATCAATGACCCCCTGGGGCGGGGCCAATTTTGACCCCAGGGCTTTTATTAGAACAAACTTAGTAGACACCTATTAGAACATGTTTGATGCTCAATATCTTAGCCATAGGTCTTTGAGTTCTTTAAAAGAAGAATTTTTAAGTTTTTACTATATGCACATAGGGAAAATCAATGACCCCCCCCCCCGGGGCGGGGCCAATTTTGACCCCATGGCTTTTATTTGAACAAACTTGGTAGACACCCATTAGAACATGTTTGATGCTAAATATCTTAGCTCTAGCTCTTTTGGTTCTTTAAAAGAAGATTTTTTAAGTTTTTACTATATGCATATAGGGAAAAAATCAATGACCCCCCGGGGCGGGGCCAATTTTGACCCAAGGGCTTTATTTGAACAAACTTGGTAGACACTTATTAGAACATGTTTCATGCTAAATATCTTAGCTCTAACTCTTTTGGTTCTTTAAAAGAAGATTTTTTTAAGTTTTTACTATATGCATATAGGGAAAATCAATGACCCCCTGGGGCAGGGCCAATTTTGACCCCAGGGCTTTTATTTGAACAAACTTGGTAGACACCTATTAGAACATGTTTGATGCTCAATATCTTAGCCATAGCTCTTTGAGTTCTTTAAAAGAAGATTTTTTAAGTTTTTACAATATGCATATAGGGAAAATCAATGACCCCCCGGGGCGGGGCCAATTTTGACCCCAGGGCTTTTATTTGAACAAACGTGGTAGACACCTATTAGAACATGTTTGATGCTAAATATCTTAGCTCTAGCTCTTTGGGTTCTTGAAAAGAAGATTTTTTAAGTTTTTACTACATGTATATGCATATAGGGAAAATCAATGACCCCATGGGGCGGGGCCAATTTTGACCCCAGGGCTTGTATTTGAACAAACTTGGTAGACACTCACTAGAAGATGTTTCATGCCAAATATCTAAGCTCTAGCTCTTATGGTTTTTTAAAAGAAGATATTTAAAGTTTTTTCTTTCGGTTGCCATGGCAACCAGAGTTCTGCATGGAATTAAATTCTTTGAACAATTTTTAAAGGTGACCACCAAAGGAACATTCCTGTGAAGTTTGGATGAAATTGGCTTAGTGGTTTATGAGGAGATGTCATTTAAAGTAAAAGTTTACGGACGGACGGACGACGGACGGACGGACGGACGCCGGACGAAGAGCGATCACAAAAGCTCACCCTGTCACTTTGTGACAGGTGAGCTAAAAATACTGATTTCAGGATACAATCTTAGTTTTTAGTTTGGAAATCATTCTACTTCAAAGGCGATTTTGACCAAAAAAATAAGTTAAAAAGGGGCAAAACTCAAACAATATAGCCTTCAGAATAGTGCGCCTTTGTCCCCCTTTGTCATACAAATGCCACATGTCATGATAAGCAGACATTCAAAGTTTCATATTAATACCTTTAAAATTGATATATTTATGGGCTATATTAACAAGGTTTTGCACCACCACGACAACATTACACCACAGCAATCATAACAGTTTTTTTTTCTTCGAAACAGCAAGCTAAAAAACTGTTCACTGTCAAAAGAATAATTTGTTCAATGTCTTGCTCATAATGTAATACAAACAGACATACAGGTATGTGATAAAACAATATAAAGTTATGCCAAATAAGCATTAAATATAATGTATATAAATTTAGTAAATGCAAGAATATGTGATTTATTAATTTCTTTCAAAAAAGATGCATTTTATGATATTCATCTCAGAGAAAGTGGTAATTCAAATAAGATCATCTGAAAGGCCCTAAAGCATTCATCTCAGACCCCTTGTTAGACAAAAATATAATTTACTACAATTCAGAACTTGGTCACTTTTAAGGTCACATTCAAGGGTGCCCAAGTTTAAATTTTACCAGCACCATTTATATGCAGTTTATATATTGTTACAAAGTGCTCATTCTGAACTCTCACTGTTTCAATATCCCTTTTTTCTACATGTATTTATCTTTTTACATAACCTTTAATGTCTAATTTTGGAAGTCCTATAATTATCTCTTTACTTCTTTATCTTTATGGAAAATATTGTTAACCTCAACATTTTTATCTTGATTTTTTCAGTATCTCAAAGTACATTTTCTGAGTGTCAAAACATATATTCACAAGATAAATAATTGTTCATCTTGACTTAAATATTATTGGCGTAAAAACACAAAGATGACCAACAGTTAACACTCACGAAGTGCTTGGGGAAACTAAAAAAAGTAATTTCTGTTCAATTTTGTGTCAGTTTCAAAACTTGGTGGACGGGAGAGAATCCAAATTCTAACCTTAAAGAATTTTGTATAAATTGGAGTTGTCTCACATTGGCTGCTGGTATTTTGATTTATTCTCCTTTTATCATGAAGAATTCTAACTTCTCTGGCACCAGCGTCCTCTGCATTTTGTATCAACTCCTGAAAAATGAATTTTAACTTTATACTCTCTACATTATCATATAAACCTGTCTGGTATACCTATCTGATATGTAACCTATCTGATGTTACATGTTATTAAATAAACTAACAGAAAGTAAGAAATCAATTTCAAATAAACACATAATTATGCTTTTAGATGCAGAACAAAGATTAATATAATAGGTACTTTCAAACAAGGACATTGACATGCTCATTTTAGTGATTATCAACCACATAATAGTAGATGCTGATATAAAATCATTATAAGTATAACGGTTACCCATATGAAAAGTGTTCAAAGATAGACATCTACATACAACTTTACTTAAAGAGGATTGAAAATAGTGTTTGACACCAAATATGTACAGGTGCAGTGGATATTATATATGTGGTTTAAGTTTGGTATCAAAGTTTGGCTATATGAATATATTAATAATTATTAAATACATTTAATATACCTTCAGTATTTGACCACCATCTGGGTATTCAGATAAAATTCCTTTCAGCTGTTTGATCAATGGTGGCTGTTTCATCTCCGAATATTGGATGTTCTTTTTCTTCTTGACGCTGCCACCACTTGCAGACGCTGAAATATTCATACAAATTGATCTTATCATATGACAAAAACAAGCGGGCTATGATGGCCCTGATATCGCTCACCTGAATATAGGTCCCCGGGGCGGGACCGATTTTAACACAGGGGCCTTTATTTGAACAGACTTGGTAGACACCAATTAGAAGATGTCTCATGATAAATATATAAGCTTTAACTCTTTGGGTTTTCAAAAGAAGATTTTTTAAGTTTTTACTTTACACATATAAGGAATAACAAAGACTCTTGGGACAGGGAAAATTTGACCCTAGGGCTTTTCTTTGAACAAACTTGGTAGACATTCACTAGAAGATATTTCATGCTTAGTATCTTAACGGAAGATTTTTTTAAGTTTTAACTATACATATATAAGGAAAATCAATGATCCCGGGGCTGAGCCAATTTTAACCCAATGGCCCTTATTTGAACAAACTTTGTAGACACCCATTAGAAGATGTTTCATGCTAAATATCTTAGCTCTATCTCTTAGGGTTTTTTAAAAGAAGACTTTTTAAGTTTTTACTATATACATAAAGGGATAAACAATGACCCTTGGGGCAGGGAAAATTTTACCCCAGGGCTTTTCTTTGAACAAACTTGGTAGACACTGACTAGACGTTGTTTTATGCCAAATATTTAAGCTCTTTAATCTAGAAGATTTTTAAAGTTTTTTCTTTCGGTTGCCATGGCAACCAGAGTTCTGCATCAAGTTAAATAAATTCTTTGAACAATATTTAAAGTTGACTACCAAAGGAACATTCCTGTGAAGTTTTGATGAAATTGGCTTAGCGGTTTATGAGGAGATGTCGTTTAAAGAAAAAGTTTACGGACGGACGCCGGGCAAACAGCGATCACTTTGTGAAAGGTGAACTTTTCAATTGAAGAAAGACCTTCAACAAATGATTCAACAAATTTATGATCATTTATCAATTATTCATACTATTTGCTCTCTTCATCTCGAGACATACAAAATAGTTGACATTTTACTAGCTGGAATTAAGAAGTAACCTTCATGTAAGTTTATGAGGATATACTTTTTGCCCAATAATGTACACGAATATTGGCACGCATTTCTGCTCATACTAGTTGAACTTTGACACTTAGACAAATAATGTACTATAAACTAATAATAGTAATTTACAACTTCTCCTCCAAAACCTCCACTTCTAGTGACCAACATACATGTATATTGAAACCACACAAAGTCTTAATCATTATAAATTTTTATTTCAGGCATTGAAAGTTGTTCATGATCTCAATTTTTTTTGTTATCTACACTGGTCTATTGCTTTGTTGAAGTTTAATGCAGGTATATGTATAATCTTTACCCAATGCTATAAGATTTGCTGAATAATGAGCAAGAACAATATTGTACATTAAATCATAAACCTAGTCCAATTTATTTATTAACAATTTTTATTTTTATCTTTCTTTAATCTTTATAGAGCAATATTTTTTGGCAAACTGTCAATTTTTCGCAAACCATGTTCATATGTTATACAGTATGGTCATATTGATTTCAAGGTATACATACATGTACCTTGTCTATAGTTGTACTATAAATTTCTGTAGTATTCAGAAGGCATTATAAGAAATCAATACATGTGTAAATACACCAGATTCTGTAAGTAAAAATAAACTTGTATTTGATTTTAAATTGCAATGGATAGTCCAATCAATTATAGATAAAATAACCTACTCAAATATGACCTTATATAAATATATTTGTAACAGGGTCTTATTTTTAAGATCATCTCTAAGGGACAAAACTCTTGCTTTGCTGTTGAAATTTATAATTTTGCAAAGGGAAACAAATCTGCCGGTCTTAACAATCCCGAACTTACTTGACCCTCTCGGATAGTTATATTTAAATTGCATTTATATTACATCTGGTGCCTAACGGGGAGATAAAAGCATTCTTGTATGTTTATTATTGTTTGTAAATTTAAAAGACCAAACTAAGGACTGAAGACATTTATGACCAATGACGGGACGTCATTTTTGCAGACCAGGTAAGTATGTAACAGGGTCTTATTTTTAAGATCAGGTCTAAGGGACAAAACTCTTGCTTTACTGTTGAATTTCATAATTTTGCAAAGGGAGACAAATCCGCCGGTCTTGTCTGATACTTTACACGGAAGATTACTCTTTTGGTTTTAACTGATTTTATCTTATGTTTACATTGGTCAGTATTATAAGAATTCAAATGATTGGTTCACGGATCATTGATTTTAAGCTATTTTTATGTCATGTGATTTATTGGTGGGAAAAAGCATTGTGTCTTTGTTGTTGTAAGGGAGAGATGTTAGAAAATTAGTGTTTGTGGTCAAGTTCTTTATTTCTTAATTTGGTTTATACATAATTTATTTTAGTTCGATTGTGTAGGAAGCTACTAGCTTATAGACACACTTTCGAATCCGTTCTTGGAACCAACCAGTACTGAGCAACGAGTGTAAAGTTTCTTGCTCAAGGGAACAACGACTTGCCCCTGACCGTGTTTGAACCCATAAGGCTAGCGATCATAAGATTACTAGTCCGACGCGTTAACCACTCGGCCATGCCGCCACTTTCTTAATTTGGTATGTATTTATCCTGACTGCTATTAAATGCTTTATTGTAATTATGGAGAATTGCATTATTGTGATTCTATTGTAGATTGTGAAATTTGTAAATAAGTATGAGGTTCAGAATGACATGTATCTATCAAGTCACCTTTCATTTTTTATTCACTATTGACATTTAACCTTGCAGTGTGATAGTCAGAGAAGTTAGGTATTAGATTGATGTACTGCACTCATCCCTCAGATGGTTAGTAACATGTGATGTATTGTGTATTGTTTAAAGTGTAATTTATGTTAAATGTGTTTATAATTTCATAACTATGCATATGATGTTTAAGGACTGTTGCTGAGTTTAAAGAAATGAATTGGCCATTAGACATGTAATTGATTATGTTCTAGATTAGAACATAATATATGATAATAATTAAAAGAATGCATTGTTTCTACTTTATTTTACTTTATATTTACATATTGTTATATACTTATTTCAGAGTGTTGTTTGTACCATCTTGAAGTATCAACCTGATGAATATATAGATTTGACCATGATAGCTGTTGTTGAAATGATTTAATAATCCTGATTTTTACTTGACCCTCAGGGGCTCAAAAAGTTATATTTAAATTGCGCCGAACCACCCCTATTACATATTTTCAATCATCACAAAAAAACTTCAAAAACAATCTTGACTTGACTCACTACATTTCCTAACCCTGTCTGCATTCATATCAAAAACAATCTTGACTTGACTCGCTACATTTCCTTACCCTGTCTGCCTTCATTTGTAATGGAACTCCTCTTATTGTAGTGATTTGAATTTCATTTTAAAATAATATAATTATCAAATTAATAAAATAATTAAATGAACAAATTGCACTGTAAACAAGTCACTACATGTATAAGGGTTCTGGCTGAGCCGAGATAGACTTAAGGGATGTCCCCCGCCCCCACCTTCTTTACACCTCACTGTGAATTATTTCAACACATGTACATGTATTAATTTTAGGGGAGTATATCAATGTTGTTAACAAGGTCATTTTTTAACAGAACAGCATCTGTAAAATCTATAAGTGCATGTTAAAATTATGTTAGCATTTCTTTGGAACTTCCGGCCTGACTTAATACGTACACTGAAATTGAATATTATATTATTGCTATTATAATAATCATAAAGGAAAGGTGACAGCAACATGAAGATTAGCCATTTAATAATTGACTGACAGAATTTATTGAAGTTTAATTGTGTAGGAAGCTTATAATGAACTAATATTACATAACCCACTGTAAAAATGATATGTTCCTGGAACCAACCAGTACTGAACAATATATTCTTGACCTTTTCCAGCTATTTTATTTCTGTTTGCCTCTGATAGGTTTTGTAGCCACACGGCTATGCAGCAATTGTTTGATAACAAGCCTGACACATCAATCTCTCAGTTGAACCAACATACGCTATTATATATATAGACAACAAAAAAATCACACACAAAATTGGCACGCTACAACCGGAATTTGAGAACCATGGGCACGAGTCTTTGGATTGTCAGTCCAGTATAAACCGGTACGCCACAATTGCCGTAGATATATTGAAGTTATTTTTAACTTTACTGTGACATTATCACTTTTTAAGTTTTATTTACCATAGCGGCAAGCTATTTGTAGCTTCTTTTTCCTCAGTCAAATTTTTTTATTATTATACATATCTTGTGGCAAACATATTTATCAATTTATAATTTTATATAAGGCCACTAAAAAACCACCGCCCATCAATATAAATGAAAGAAAGAAAGTAATGAGCTGGAAATCTTCGGTGTATAATATATATATATACAAAAAACAAAAACATTTTACATACCCATGATGTCTAGTTGAATGTATATTCTCCTTTAGTAATATAATCTCTTTGTTTAAATGAATAATCTGAAAAATGAGATTTTCTCTATGTTAACTAACATACATCTGGCTTTTATATAATATGTTACTATATAAATTCAGATATATACAAACTTGATAGGATTTAACTTGATAGGATTTATTTTAACATGACCACGTAATTTAATTGAAATACTAAATAGACAGTTATAAATACTTAAACTTATTTTTACAAATAAGTTGATCTACACTTTTTATGAATAAAGTCTAAATTGTTTGCTAGATTAAGAGACAAATAGTATGATAATTATGTGCTTTGAAAATGTATGGATTATAATGATGTACTATGTATAAATAAAAGAAAGTTCTGTTCAGTTCCGTTAATCAACAGTTGATCCTTTATTTCCTAAATTACAATATTTAATAACACTAAGATTGTCTCAAGGACATATGAGATATATGTTAATGATAGGATAAAAAAGATTTTGTTTATTTCTTGAAATCATAAAATAATTTGATGAGCCGCTTATATCTTAAACACTTTTGCTAGTATTTTATGTAAT